CCAGTAAGACTATTTCACATTTTTCCCCCAGTCTCCAGATCCTGCCTGAATTCCCGCAAGGTACAGGGTGGGAGGCCCACTCAGGAACTCCACCCTGAGGTCACATTAGGAACCCTAGGCTTTGAGAGTGAGTTGACTGTTTGGAAATCGGTGTCTGAAGAGGTAGGGAATGCTTAAATCGGTGTGCAACTGTAAGTCTGCCATCTTCCCCCTTTGAAACCAATCCGCTTCCTTTATTTATGCCCCTCTTTTCTGTTAATTTCCCGTTTTTAAACTGTAATAGAAGCAGGTGGCAGCTGCACTGTTTTTAAGTCTAGATTTTGGAGGGATTTAATCACCTTTTATCACACGTGTCTGCATTTGAAAACACCAAGCATGGGTTTAAAGCTTGCCCCACCCTACTAAGTGCTTGAATTCATTTATGTATAATATTTACATTTCCTCGTCTGCTCCAAACCTTCACCATTTAAACAGCTTAAGCTTCGCTCTTTTCTAGGGTTAAGGTTAGGTTCTACTTTCCCAGTATTTTGCCAGGACTTTCAATAACCATTGGCTGCTGGCGTTTGGACAAGAAGCCTCCTACCCTTCAAACACACGGGAAAGAGGCCGTTTGTTGTTCCAGAATAAGTGGCTGGAAGGAAAGTTGGGGCAATCTCTACACCGCGCTGCCTAATGCATCGCTGGAAAAGGCCCTGAGGATCTCCAGCGGCAGCTTGTACCCTAGTGTCACGCTGCGTGCTCAGGCTCGGCCGGTATTGCTGCTATGCGCGGAAATATGAGCGAGTAATTTTATAAGTAACAAAGGATCAGGGATGGAATGAGGCCCCTGTTATCCAATGTCATTTAGAAGCCTTGGATCAGCAGCTTCTTGAGGCTAAAAGTGAATTCAAGAAGCCCTGCCTTTCCCTTTTCCCAGGGGTGCCAGCTAAATTTAGAAGTAACCTCTGTGTGTTTGCACAAATCGTGTACCATTTGCTGTTTGTGTAAAAACCGATTAGCCAGACACAACTGTGAAACAACTTGTGACTTTTATAGCTGCAACACACAAACCAATTTAGATCCGTTTAGTTTTCCTTGTAAAAGGAGATTAGAGGGGACCCGCCCGAAGTAAAGCTCTCCTCGCTGAAGGTTACGGTCCCTGCTCCAGCACTGCTGATGATCAGGTTCTTGTTTATCAAGTTAAAAAACTCTCACCCCAGCAGCCTGATTTATTTTAGGACGCGACTCCCGACGGAATGTTTACTCAGGACACACTAACATTTACCGTTCACCAGGAAAACAGTATTTGGAAGGAAATGTCTTTCAGGGCGACCCCCAAGCCCACGCCGGCCACCGAGAATAAGGCTCGGGTTCCGGTGACGCGCAGGAGTGGACACGGCTTCTGACATTGCCTGGGTTTTACTAACAGGACGCTCATAGGGTGGAGATGACACCGCTGCTAAGGACAGTTCCGGGGTTAAAAACTGATTTTCATAAGTAATTGTAACAGCTAAATTAATTACAAAATAATTAGAATTGATGCCGTTTGAGGATGTGCTGCTGGTGGCCCAACCGGCCTCTTACATCTAGACGTTTCATTTCTACTTTAAAACCTTAAAAAAAAATAAAGGAGGAAAGAAAACGCTTGAACAGCTGGAATGGATACCTAAAATAATCTAAGAGGACATTGCCCACTCCTACTTTATAGTTCTCTCAAAAATCCTAACCTAGCTAAGGTAGGGGGTAAATGGTGGCGGTAAAATGCACCTGTTTTTAGAAGGGTGTTTGCTATTATTTCTTGGCCCTCAGAAAGGCTCGGGGTTGGGAGGAGGGGCTGCCGCTTCAGGAATCGTCTAGATATCCAGTATGTGAGTTGATTATTGACATAGAAAGGGGGAATCTTGAAAATTTTTCTGAAAAAAGAACGATCACCTATCATCTTAATGCAAATAATGTCATCCCAATAACGTAAAATGTTATTATGTTGATGGGTTTTAGCACTTCCACGTAAGGTATGAAAAAGAATTCCAAAAACCCAAGGTTTACTTGCAAAAACACGGGATGCTGGCAATTTTGTTCGTGAAAGGCAATTAAAATGACAAAAATCTGTTGTTTGCCTGGTGGACTATGCCACACCGACCGATCTTTGAAATGAGCAGGAATGCTGTTTAGATTTTTAATGGCAGCTTCCTTTGCAGGAGCCGCTAGTAGCTTGATATGAATGAGATCGCCATCTCTATTCCGACTTTATGTGCAAAATAACGGACATATATTAATATCATCTAACTTAGGGATATTCCTTCTATTTTCAAATTTAAACGTTTCTACACCCAAATTATGAGTTTGCAACGTTTGAAACCGTTAGATTTTTCTAGGGGAAGACAATGCAAATTCCTTTTTAAAATCTTGCCATTTGCTGTACACTTAAATAAAACACTAGGCTGAGCATTTTAAAAATTTATTTACAAAGTTGTGTACAACACGATGGAATAACATTTAGAATACCATATATATTCATTCATATATAAACAGACTTTTATAATACAATGACACTTCGCCTTTTTGAAAAAATTTTCTTGTATTTAAAATCTCCCAACGTCTCTATACATTCTTTTTCTCAGATAAAACTGCCGAGAGTGAACCTTCAAAAAAATGAAAGTTCAGAGCTCTAAATCTACTGAATTTGTTTTTCTTTTCTTAAAAAAATAAAAACCCCAAAAGGAAAGTCAATGATTTTTATACAAATATGTACAAAGAATCTCCCTCCCACCCCCACAGTACTGAGAGCAGGCGCCGTCGGGGTGCATTTTTGGAAATTCGGTATCAAGTTTACCTGTACGGAAAGCTATTCCCAGCGGGCGCGTGTTGAGTTTGCTTGGCCAGCTTAGGTGAGCGAGGGGATGGAGGCCGCTGTTGGTCGGTGTTGGGGAGTCGGGGGCGGGTAGCAGAGTCCGGGGTTGGGTACAGGGACCAGGACCAGGGGCAGAAGGACCAGGATCAGAGCGGGCGCACAGCCTGAAAGCAGCGCAGACTCTGCCGGAGGCCGCCGCCCGGTCGGGCCACCACCGGCTCATCACTATTGCGCGGGCCACTTGGCTTGAACGGCGGCGGCGGCAGCGGCGGCGGCTGAGGCTGCGGGCTGCAGGAACTGTCCAGACAGCGGAACGCTCAGGATGGGCGCGATGGTGGCAGTCGTCCGGCTCAGCGACAGGGGCTGGTGCGTGGCCATGAGCGCCGCGGACTGCACAGTCCCCGGCGGCCGCAGGAAGGACTGGGTGCTGCCGCCGCCCCCGCTGCCCCCGCCACCCCCAGCCCCGCCCGCGCTCCCGCCACCCCCAGCCGAGCCCCCGGGCGCCGTGGGTCCCGCGCCTATGATGTTCTCAATGCTGAACGACGGCCGCGCACTGGGCTCGGACTTGATGAGCGACGTGGTGCCCGCCGCACCCGCCGTGCCCGCGGCTGCCGCGGCGGCACCCAGGGTGTTGAGCTGCAACTGCAGGCTCGGGCCGAGCTGCGAGCCGAAGGCGGCCGCTTTGCGGCCCAGCTCGCCCGAGGGCAGCAGGGGCACCGCGGGCGGCAGCACGGGAGCCACGGGCGGCAGCGCGTACGGGTACTGAAGCGCCGCCGCTGCCGCCGCCGCCGCCGCCGCCGCGGGATGCGAGTAGGCTCCCGCCGCCGCCGCGGGGTGCAGGCCGTAGGGGCGGCCGTAGGGTCCTGCGCCCGCCGCCGCAGCCAGGCTGTAGGCGCCGAAGCTCTGCATCATGAGCGCCGTCTGCTCGCGCAGGTGCTCCTGCTGGTGGCGCTTGAAGCGCTTCCGGCGCCGCAGGAAGCTGCCGTTGTCGAACATGTCCTCGGACTGGGGGTCCAGGGTCCAGTAGTTACCCTTGCCCGGGTTGCCCGGCTCGCGGGGGATCTTGACGAAGCAGTCGTTGAGCGACAGGTTGTGGCGGATGCTGTTCTGCCAGGCGGGGAACTTCTCCCGGTAGTATGGGAAGCGGTTGCTGATGAACTCGCAGATGCCGCTCAGGGTCAGCTTCTTCTGCGGGCTCTGCAGGATGGCCATGGTGATGAGCGCGATGTAGGAGTAGGGTGGCTTCACCAGGCTGTTCTTGGGCTTGCTCGGGGTCAGACCTCCCGGTGCACCGCCGCCCGCGCCGGGCCCACCGCCACCTGCCACCGCGTCCTCGCCGCCCTTGCAGCCGTCGGCCTCGGGCGCTCCGGCGTCGTTCCCCGGCCCGGCCGCGGTCGCCTCGGTGGGCAGTGCCAGGGAATGTTGGTGGGGCGGCTGAGACTGGCCGTGATGAGCGGTCGCCTGTGGCCCCTCGTCCGCCTCGTCCAGTCGCAGCTCCGGTGGCCCCGCGGGGCTATCGCAGCCCGCGTCGCTGTCTTTCTCATCCAGCCCGTCGTCGCCCTCGCCCACCACATCGATGTCCACGTCCTCGGCCGTCAGCACCGTCTGGCCGGACATATCGCTGGCGCTGCCGCCGCCGGAGAGGGTCATCCCTCCACGGGGTTGGTGGCGGCGGCCGGGAGCGAGCAGAGGGCGAGGGCGCCCGTGAGGGGCGGTCGCGGAGCTCAGGGAAAGGGGGTGCGGGTGTCCCCCGAAAGAGAGCGGAGGGGGAGGGGAGGGCACAGGTAGCTCGGGGCCCTCCTGGGTCGGCTCACACCCGGAGGCCCGGCATCGCGCTGTGCGGGCGCTGCGCTCCGCCGCCTGCAGCCGGGCTCCACGAACTCCAGCGGTCCCCGACGCTTCCCGACGAGGAGGCAGCTACTGCTCGCGACCCCGAAGGTTTCTCCACGCCGCGCCCCCTCACTTCTCCAGCCTTCCTCGGCTTCTCTGGCTTGGGCGTGGGGCTCAGAAGCGGTCCAGGCGATAGCGGGACGCCGGGTGCCAAGCAGCTCCGAAGGGCGCGGACAGGGGCAACCGCGGGGGTGGGGTGGGGGGTGACAGGGACGCCAAGCCCGGGTAGTCGAAAGTCCCGTTTTAAGGACTGGCCTGATAGATTACTTTCTACTTAAAGATCCAGCGGGAGGCGGGGCCACGTGACCGCGCGTGACGTCAGGGCCGCGGTGGAGCCGGCCAAACTCAAGTTGGTTCAGGGAATTGTCAACAAAGGGACGAGAGAAGCGCAACTCCTGACCGACTAAGAGCTAGCATCCCCCCGGGCCCCGAGGGCTCTTCGGGCTGCCGGGAGACCCCTGCCCACGCTGGAGCCGGGCGCCGGGTCCCGGGAGGGCGTGAGTGTGGGTGGGTGAGGGTGGAGAGGGCGTGGGCCTAAAAGAGTGTCCTACGGACCTCAGGGCTCCTGCCTCCCTGCCTTCTCTGCCCCCTGCCCTTTTCTGCCTTCCCTACTTGGCTAGTATTATTTAGACCGACTCGCAGTGCAGAACAAGGTTGTTGTTGTTGTTGTTGTTTAAGAAAACTTACTATTTTGCTTTGCTTTGGGTTTTTGTTTGTTTTCAATTCAGGGATTAAGGGAACACATCCGGCTCCCTTTTGCTAATTAGGCCCCAGACCCCCTCCTGTCTCAGGGCCATTCCAGAGACAAGACACCTGCTGATACGCTTCCACATCACCCCCAAACCTAACTTACTCTGGCTCGACGCGGCATTTCCATTCATACATACATAACATAACGTACGTGTGTGTGTGTGTGTGTGTGTGTGTGTGTGTGTGTGTGTGTATTCGCACGGTCACAACACCATCAGCTGGGGTTTCTCGAGGTCAGAAAATAGTTATCGATTAACCTATTAGGATAGTTACAGAGAAATAAAAAGGACGTAAAATAACAGGAAACCTATAAACAAAAAGCCATAACTGGCTGTTGGAGTTGGTAAAGACTTAGCACAGAAAAAGTCAGAAATGAGTTGGAAGTGGAGCGGGTATTGGCAGCGGCCTGGGTAAGTGGAGTGAGGTGGGAAGGAGGCCTTGGGCCTTGGTATTAGACGTCGCGCACGGACTGGGACAGTTGGGAAATTGTGGGGAGCGGGCGTAGACTTCCCGAGCGGAGGGCACGGCCTCCATGGAACCACTGTGCTCCAGGGCTTGCTAGTGGGGGTGGGCTCCCCTTTGCTTCTAACTAAGGTGAATTATTTCTTAACGCATAGACACCCTTCAAGACTTCACTTCTACAGAATTCTGCGGCAAAGAAGAGAAGAGGTTGTGAGCGGTGCACATGGAGTTGCCGTGGCAAGGAATGTCAGCGACGGTAGGAAAGACTGGGAATTCCCAGAGATGCTGGGGGTGGGGACTTGAAACGGACCCGGAGTCAGCTCCTAGTGCTGCTGGGGCTAGTGGACTGGGTACGTCCGAGGGGTCTCCCAACCCCGGCGATTCTGAGAATGCCTCGTTTTTTTTCACTCCTGCCTTTAGGCCGCTTCTTTGTCAGAGGAGAGCAATTGCTGGTTGTGGCCCTCTTGAAACCCAATTAGTCTGTCCGCCGAAGGCCTGGGAGGAGGAAGCCTTTTCTCCCAGGGTACAAGAGGTTGAGAGAGGAAGTCAGGGAGGAGACAATTTCTGCACTGCTTATAGACATAGTGGAAGAGTTATGTACTTCTAGGATGCCACCAGTGGCCGCTCACTTTCCCAGGCACATCAGATTATTAAAATACTTTCAATCTGTAAACTTGTGTTTTGTTTTGTTTTTTACAGGCATTAGGACTCACAGATTGACTATTATCCATCCCCATTACACAATTCCCCCAGCTATACCACTAGCCCTATGAATATGGACTTCCACGATGCTCCGGGATGGGGCTGCTGCTGGGCGGCCGGGGGCACTGACTTATCCAGAGAGGTCTGGAATCGCCATGGGTTTTTTGTTTGTTTGTTTGTTTGTTTGTTTGTTTCCAGTTGTTCTCGGGGTTACTCCTGACCTTAAAACGCATGTCTAGCGTTGATTTCTGCTGCTGCACCACTTGTGACTCGCTGGCTCATATAAACATCTTCCACGCTCACTAGAAAAGTCTTCTCACGAAACCGGCAGGAGCGACGAGCTGGCTGCCTGTCACCCAAGGCAAGAGGTTACAGTGGCAACTGCCCGAGCAGCCCAAAGAAAGGTGGGGCGGAAAAGAAAACACAATTCAAATTTACAAATTTAGGAGTGCTTTTGCACAACTTGGATTGCCAGGCGATGGCCGCAGCGCGGGGCTCAGCGCGGACCAGTCTCCGGTGGACGGGTGGTGCCTGTGCGCTCGCGAGAACCCAGGCTCCAAGGCTGCTTTCGCTGATCCTTTTGAGGTAGTCCGCAAATGAACCTAATTTCGATTTCTGCGTTGGCCTGAGCTGGCTCAGGAGACTTTCTCCGCGTAGCTGCTGGCAGCCTCTTCCCCTCCGCTAAGGCCGGTTCTGGGCGGTCCATTCCCGTGTGTCTCCTTGGAACCTCTCTAGGGAAGGGGGGTGGTGAACAACTCCCAGCTGCCGGTTCCATTTGTTGCGCCTTTTTCCTTCGACACAATAAAAGTCAAATTAATTGATTCATACCATTAATTACGGTGCGTAGCGTGAAAAGCAACGCTTCCCCTCGGTTAGAGCTCTATTGTGCTAATCTCTTGTTCAATCAGTGTTACCATCTGATGCTGGGTCCAGCCCCTACAGAAACTTTGCGACTCGATTAGCTAAATGATGAGACGTGCAGAACCTACTGGCTGCTGCCCCCCCAAACCCGGAGCCCGCGCGGGCCTACCGGCTTAATATCGATTTCCAGAGGAGGCCTCGGAGATTCCCGCGATCGCTCTGTTTGGGGACCCGCAGTGGCTTTCCTCCTGCCGGGTGGACACTAAGGTCAGCGCTGCGGCCTCGGTGCGAGAGAAGGCAGCAGAGCAGCCGTACATACAGGTGGTGGTAGATCGGAAGGTTCCCGGGGCCCTCTTCGCGGGAAGCCTCCTGAAGCCTGCTGGATTCTGAGCTAAACAGCGGCGAGATTGTAGCTTGCATAGAAAAACCCAGGTCCTCAGTTACCGCCAAACTTTGATACAGAGATAGAAAAGGGGGGGGGGGGAGGGTTGATACACATCGGGGAGGAAGGTTGTGACACAGGGAACAGAAATGATGGGCAAGGATAAACATTCATTTGCCAAGGATTATTGGGGGCACTGAGGAAGAAGGGGCGCACACGCTAGCACAGGTAAGCACGGGGTGACAACTTGGGTCAGCTAGCAAACTTCCCATGAGATATTTAAGATGAAGGTGGCAGTCCGCGGTCTCACCCGCTCACATGTTGGAAATGATTCTGCATAATAAGAGTGAAGTGGACAGAAACTCCGGCTTCTCGTGGGGCCGAGCAAACAGGTAGTCTTACAGGAGGGCCAGGGGAGCCACCGAAACAGGTCCAGGAGTGGAGGGGGAACCAAGGTTCTAGGAATAGGAGGCAAGAGTAGAGTCAGGATCGATAGGAAGGAAAATTGAGACGTCTCCAGAGGAGGAGAGATTTAGTGTGTGCTTCCTGGAAGGGGAGGGTGTGGATGGAACAATTTATGACGGAGAAGGGGGAAATTAATTACAACTCAATTTGGATTCTTGAGTGGTCAACATGGGAGGAGGGGCTGGGTCAGAGTGAGAGAAGCAGAATGGTCCACTCAGGCCTAAGCGACCCCAATCGCATGTCTCCCGAGTCAGGGACTATGGCATCGGTCAAGCCATGGAAGCAGGCAAATGATCCTCATTCCTGCACACAAATGCACTTTTCTAACAATCCGGGAAGGCGAGGCCACTCCGGAGAAGCAAGGGGAGCACCCCTCCGCACACACACACACTCAGGGCAGCTACTTTCTTTAGCAGGCAAAGCAAACCATGGGTGGGACCATTTGAAAGCCAGCCTTCCTTCCGGGATCCATTGTCTACACCCAAGCCGAAGTCTATTCCTTCTGCACAATTTTCATAGACTTACATTAGACCATCATCCACCTCTTTGAATGGCTGCCACCAAAGGTGGGAAGAGCTGAGGTCCCAATCCATGCAGATTATTTCCACTGACCAATGGGTATGGGTTTCAACACACTTTCATCCCCAAACACCGACCCCCATACCTCTTCAGAGCTCTTTTGGGGAGGGTGGGGAGGAAGGCTAATTTAATATTCTTGTTTAGATTTACATCTCAAAACTTCATTTATTTTCAGTACCTGGTACTCACAGTCCGCGTGACTATAAAAGGCGAGAGACCAGGAGGAAAGGAGAAGAGAGAGGGGGAGAGAGAGGATGGTTTCGAATTTATTTATATTGGAAATGTATAAACATCCATTCTGTAAAAGGCAACACGTTTAATTAACGATGAGAGAGCAGTTAGGGGCAGAAAGCTAGTAAAATTGTGTGATAAATTTATGGCATTGTTAGCGTGCTTTTAATTATGGCTATTATGTTAATTATTTCACATTAGCATGGAGTTATCAGCGGCATGTCAGATTTAATCAAAACGAGCCTTTCTCTCGAAAATTGTTCTTTTCATTCGCGAGGAGAAAGATCCTGGGCAGGATCGGGGCTTAAAAATGACTTGGCATTGAAAGCTAGTCTTGCCGACGCTGTTCCATGCGACACCGCGGGCCAGGCGTCCGCTGGGTCCCTCCAGGCTAACGGTAGCTGCTGGAGAAGCCGAGGGCTGGGTTTTTAGGAATTCACCATTTTCACCCCCTTCGGAGCCGACACTTCATCACGCGGGATCATTCTGTCAAACAATATGATGCTGCTCATTTTTATCTGTCCCGCTTTACAAAATCCCTATTCAGCCGGCCGAGGAGCTTTAACAAAAGCCTGAGCCACACCGCGGCGGCTAGCGGCCCCAGCTCCACGGCGAGCTGCAGAAAAAACGGAAGGGGTTGGGGAGAGTTTCATTGGTGTCCGCCACTCGCAACCCGAAGGGACGCGACCCCCCACCCATCGCCGGGCCAGGATGCCAAGGTACCCGGTCCTGTGTGTGACTGTTCCGGCACGCCTATCCCGAGCTGGGGCTGGCTCTCTGCCGTCTTTCCGGCGCGCGCAAAAGTTCCTTTCTCTGGCAGCAAGAGGCTCGCCCACCCAGCCATATCGATTTCTTAATCACCGCCGATCGATTTATTGGGAGCAAATAAATAGCCCGTTTTGGAAACGTTTCAATTGTGGGTCTGATGATGGGGCGCTGAGACGGGGAGGGCGGGGGCTCTGGGAGAGCGCGACCACCGGTGGACCTCCAGGGAGCGCGTGGTGATGGCGATGCGCCCGCATCTCGGGGGCGCACCCACCTCTCCCAGGGCCCGCACCTTCTCTTTCTCTCAGCTCCCCCTGGTGGCGGGGCATGACATCTGGACGTCCCTCCCTTCTGCCCTCACTTCCAGGCATGTGCGCATGCCTTCTGACGCCTTTGAAAGCCCAGAGCATCCTAAGGTCAGGCCTGAGATTGCCAGCCTGACGGACACCCCTTTCCGGCTTTTGGACACACTTCGAACCTCGGTGATCCTCCGACCTAGGCTGCGGACGCCGCACCTCCTGGCCGCTTCCTGCGCAAGACCACTCTGGCCCCCTCCTTTCCCCGGACAACGCCGAGGACCTGCCTGCCAGCTGCTACCTTATTTTTAGCGCCATTCCATTGGCGCAGTTATATTTAACTCGATCCACTCCTCCGAGGTCGCTTGGACATCGAATTCTCCACATCGCAACTTGGTCCCGCCCGCCTTGCCTTGGGGGCAGATTCTCAGGGGCGGTGGGGGTGTATGTAAAACCATGACCTAAGAATCTTCGCCATCTCGGGACTGGGCCGGAGACAGGACGAATTCTTCAACCGTTGCTAGACCCCCTTGCCAATGCCTCGTGGGGATCCGGCCTTGCGAGGGGAAGGGGAGAGAGGGAGTATCAGTCCCCGGGAAGGATTCTCTGCGGGGAAGCATGCAATCGATTTCCTATTTATGCATGAGCCAAGTACCTGAATGACCTAGAACACCTATTAGAATGCTGTACAATAAAATCTTCATGGTTTTGTGTTTATGCAGGAATTCCCTTTCCTCTCTACTCGGGAATACACACATTGAGAAAGTTAATTCCAAATGGTACCTTGGTTCCTCAGTTCCAGCTCAGGCTGTGCTTCCCTTGGCAAAATCTGAAAACACCATGCCTCTGGCTCGCAGCCGGAGGGGGGAGGACACTACTTGGACAGCACACAGAAATACAGGGGATCCTGTTCACATGGGAGGTACAACGGAGTTTACAAAATCCAAAGCCGTGTGCTGAAGCTGCAAATATACATGTGACACGATCCGGGATGGTTAAACACACTTTTTATGTTTCACATACTTTTTTAAAGTGACTCTTTTTCGTGGACCCAAATTGGATGTTTCTGGCTCCCTCTCATCGTAACTTTCCTGTGAATTTGGCAGGGCGGGGTATTTGTTTATAATTTATGCAATTCAGTAATCCTTAATTGGCTTGTGTTAGGCTCTGGAAAATGCTAGTGATGAAAAGAATTCGAGGTCTGAGGAAGAGCTGGCTACAGAACCACCCTTCCCAAGGCAGGCGTTACATTAGGGAAAAAGGGCAGCGCAGCAGGGCCTTGATGGAGCGTAGAGTGAGAAGGGATGAGGCTTTCCGGTGCAGGGGAGAAAACTGGGGGAGGTGACACACACACCCTTAATCCCAGTAATTCCAGCATTCTGAAGGCTGGGGCCAGAGGAAGGCCCGGGGTTTCAAGCCAGCTTGCTTTGGGTAGGGGGACCCTGACTCAGAACAAATAACACAACCAGAAAAAAAAATGCAAATCAAACCACACACACACAGGATAGCTATTGACATTAGGGTATCGGTGGAATTTTAGGAAGAAGGGAACTAAAAACTTTGAATGCCTTGAGAAAGCACTACGGTTAGTACCTAACAGTACTCTGGTGGAAAGGTGGAGAGGTGATAAACCGGGAAATGAAGAGAAGAGAAGTGTGACCAGAAGAGGCATGAAAGCAGAGGAGGAGTGGAAAATGGAACTTCAGGACTGGAGATGCTAAGAGAGATGTATTGCTGCTCTTGCAGCGGACTGATGTCAGTTCCCAGCACTGATGTGGGGCGGTACACAACCGCCCATCACTCCAGCGGTAGGAAAATCTGACCCACATACTAATACACACATAATTAAAAAACAAAAACAAAAATTTTTAAAGTGAAACCTTGGCCTAGAAGTTGTGTTTGGGCTCTTGTGACCTCCTTTTAGAAGGCAGGAAAGAATGCTGTCTAAGATGCACATGTTTCAATGAAAACATGTGTAAACAGCCGGGCGTTGGTGGCGCACGCCTTTAATCCCAGCACTTGGGAAGCAGAGGCAGGCGGATCTCTGTGAGTTCGAGACCAGCCTGGTCTACAGACTGAGTTCCAGGACAGCCTCCAAAGCCACAGAGAAACCCTGTCTCGAAAAACCAAAAATAAAAAATAAAAAAATAAAAACATGTGTAAACAGTAAAGACTACCAGAAAGGTAACTAGGGGAGAGATTACTGAAAGGGTCGAGTAGTAGACCCACTGAGTTTTCTTACTTTATCACATTCA